CGCCTCTTCCCCCCCCCCCCCACACACACCCCCCTTGCCCAGGGGTCCTGCAATTCTGCTGCCTCTCCCCTCCCCTTCACCCTGGCAGCTTGTGTTGCAGAACATTATGCATTGTTCTGATAGCTCTGCTATCCTACCAGCCCTCAATAGAGTGAAATAAGAATGCAGACTGCCATTTGCACTACACTGTTTGTTGTTTCAGTTCGGAGGACATTTGTCCACTGCAGACTAGACTGAGACCACACATTCATTTCACTTGTGACAAGCCACTTTAGAACTGAGGTGTAAGGCACTTCATATTAAAACACTACAGCACTGAGCACTGTGGAAAGTGAAGTGCTTTCAGGGAAGATGAGGAAATTGTCAATAAATGCTGTCACCATCTTTGTTTTTCTTTTCTATGCTGTGAAAGCAGAACGGGCACCATTGGGGGCATGGGGAGGGATATTTGATTTCTTAATAAATATGTTTATCAAAGAACTTACCTGGGTAAAATCACCTTTTTTAAGCTAAACACTTTTGAACCTTTCATAAAAATGAGAGACTTGGACTGACAGTGTCTAAATGACTCCTCTTTTCTCCTTCCATTCTTTCATCTGAATTGCTCATATGGTAGCACTTTCTTTTAGATAGGTGCCTAAAGCCATAACTAAACACAGGATTTACTCCTTACAGCTACTTATTACAGTAATTACTCGTTTAACATGTGCCCGCTTAACATGTTTTCACAATAACACGATTTTTTTTTAGGGAACATTTTTCAAATAACACGACCGTCCTCGAAATAACATGAAAATAATCAAGTAGTGGACTACTTCGCATGGCAGTATAATTTGGCGAAAACAGTGGTAATACTCATGAGTGGATGAATTCACATGGTCACAGTGCTCCTCCGCTCACTCACATGTTTATCTTTGTGTTTTAACAAACCACGGTGACTTGTGTTGCTAGATATCTAATGTTGACATTGACGCAACAAAAAAATTGACACAGCCACCATCGCCTGAAACGCAACTTCCATCTTTTCCATTATTTTTAATGGGAAAATTGACCCCGCATAGCACATTTTTGCTTAGCACAAACATTTTCAGAAACACATCTATAGTGTTAAATGAAGAATTACTGTATACCCAACACAATCCCATCTATTTTTATAGTGTTTCATAGAAAATTTCACCTTTTATAGCTTCTTCATGCAAATGCCTGGCCTGCTCTGAGTAGGTAACATTACATCATACAGATTTAAAGACACTTGACATTTTTATGAGTAGACTGTCATGTCAGCTCTCATGCACTTTTACGAGGCAGGAGGCCATTATGCACTATTTAAAAAAACCCAGATGAAGCTCATATTACAATAATACTTAATTGACTTTAGATTGAAATGTGTTTCTTTTGACTGCTGTAGAGAACAAAAAGGTGAATCCTAGAAAAGAATGGCAATTAAGGCTGTTGCACAAAGTGACAAAAGCAATAATGTTCTCAGGAAAACTACAGAACTGTTAACTAATATTAACCATGTGAGTTATTTATCTAGGAATCAGTATGAGAAAATAATAATTATATAGCTATGGCAGCAACATTGATATCGTGATTGGGTTCCATTTTTTCACCTCAGTGTTATTAATGCATCCTTCCCATATTGGAAGCACATAATCTCTAAATAAAGATTGAGGTTACTTGGGATTTTTATATTTTTTATAGAAACTTTTTAAGAATTTTCACTCTAACCAAAAAGTCAGAGTGCTTTTGCTAAATTTGTTACTAGCTGGTGATCCACCTGTTAGTTTACTGCTTGAAGAGTCCTGGTTTGATGAACCAGAGTTTGTTCACCAGAAAAGTAGTGGCAGCTGAGAGCCTGAGGGACCCATCCAGCACATGGAGGTGTTCCTGGCAGGAGTGTTTGGGTGGATTTCAGAAGGGAACTGTAGTGTTTCCATGTATCTTAGACTTCCCGTAATGCCTTCAGCTAGAGCCAAAGTCCTCACTCCCCTCTGCCTTTGACTGTTGGACAAACTTCTTCTGTTTTGGCAAACCAGATCTCCAGCTGGCAAAATAGAGGTGGTTTGCTGGCTGGCGTAGCTGCAACAGGAAAAGACCTTGTAGCTAGCTCTCTCTATAAATGTATTTACTTGTCCCTCCCTCCCTCCAGCTGATCCCTCCCAATATGACAAGGGTCCACTTGTGTGCATCCAATTGCAGGACCAGGGTCTGAATGCCAATTTGGATGAGTATTTGATTCTAGTCACACATACTGAAACACATGGACCCAACAAGATTAGTGAAGGTCTGACACAGCTGCCAGCATTTACATTGCACCAATGTATTTCTTGGCTTTGAAGGTTTATGTCACAACTTACTCAAACCTAAAGTAGACTTTGTGTGTTGCTCATTTAACATATGGTCCATGCCGGAATGCCTGCTAAGTAATTCAGATCATGATGCAGTTGGACTTAATTGCATTAATGTTTAAATCCTATTTTTGATAAAACAGAATATCTCTTTGTACTTTTTTCCTGTGGGATGTATATAATTCAAAAACAGAAGTAATCCTGCTGTTTACTAGCAAATTGGCAACTGATTATAGGATATCTTGGCTTGCCGACACAGCATAAATGCTTTGAGTTCCTCCACTACCTAGATTTTCCTACTATAATTTATGAACTGGAATTGGTTGCCATGGCAACACTATTCACTGACCTATGGTACTCTTTTGGAAACATTTTTTAAAATTAATTTTTACTGACACTGGAACAAAGTACAGCTTTTAGTCTGCAGAGGTTAAAGCATGTGTCTCATATTAAACAGAGAAAATGTGATTTATGCATGCAGAAACTGAGTGAATTGCCCTGACGAGCTTTTTTAATGATTGAAAATCTTACTTTTTTCATATTCTTCCTCTGCCTCCTCCCTCACCCTCAAAGCATAGATATAAAACGCTTTCTCTTGCTTCTTAACACATGGAAAGCATCTCCATTTGTCTGGAAAATGTGCTTTTGTCTGGAAATTTCTATGCATCTGTGCTGTCTTTAGCATGCGAACGGACAGACTTTCACAGATTATAAGACAAAAATAATTCAAAATTGAACAGATGACCTCCCTGGGAAAATAGTGTGAGACTTATTACACAGAAACTATATGCATAGATAGATACACTGCAGACTATACTTTGTACTATGAAATATATCTAAAATAATACTTAGAATGTAAAAGTTGTAGAGAGATCCAGACTAGTAAATTGAGAATAGTTTAATAACACCTTACGAGATGCCACAAATGCCACAATCCCGTCACTGAAAAAGGCGGCTGTGTTGAGGGAGCTGTATATGCGGCCCACAATGATAAATAGTTTGAGAACCACTGAGTTGGTCTGGTACTCAGCTGGCAGAAATGTTGAGGGACAATGGGAGGGATATACTTTTATGGGTTTCTTTCTCCAATCTTCTGACCGAGAAGAAATCTGTCTTGTTTCAGTGTTAGAGCACAAAAACTAAAGAGTATATTCAAGATATATTTGCTTCAAGCTTATTAACACTCTTATAAGAAAGGATCTGTCAGTGACTTCATCGTAACTTGATGTTCTGAGATGGAATGCTATAGCTGATACAACTGTGTGAACTGGAATATTGTGATGCATTCCTTAATAACTGTTTGAGTATTGGAAGCTGGAGAGAGGAGAGGAGAGTAGTTTGTCTTGCTTTCATAAGCCCTGTTCCTGTAAACACTGAAGCATGTGCTTACCTTTAAACATGTGCACATGTGGTTGAAGGAATGACATTCTAAATCATCATTTGAGTACGTTGCTCATTAAAAGATAATTCTGTGAGGGAACAGTAACCATTGCCCTACTGTTAGGTTCTTTTCCTTTTCGCATTACCTGGGTTCAGCTTTCCATAGAATCATTCCTAGCATTTATTTCACCTACTTTTTTTAAACTGAAGGCACCATATAAATAGTTAACCAAAAAGTGGTTGAAATGTATTAGATTTAATTTTGCAAGGACAGCGTATTGATGTTCTCATCTACAATTTAAATGTTCATTGATTAGAAGGTATCTACAGAGCTGCTTCAGAACAGTTTCCTTTGATTAATGGCATTGAAGCTGCGCTGAAGGAATGGCTTAGTGTGTCACGTAAATTCTTGGCTTCTTACAGGAAGGTTAATTAGGAAAAAAAGTCATTTACAGCTTAGGTGCTCAGGTTGAAGACAAGCAAATGATTCATTTGAAACAAACAGAAAGCCTGCCTGTGCATATGGGTAACATGTCCACACAATTTGGGTCTAAATCAGTTAAACGAAGTAAAAAATAATTAAGCAAAGCAAAATTGGTGCTTCGCAAAGGGCAAATGAAACCAAATCGTAAATTAAATCAACCTCATGAACCCTTAAAGTATTACTAATTCCTGACATAACCCTCCCACTGCATTGCAGCCTTTAGCAGGGAATTAACTTTTTTACTTGACACAAATCTGAATCACTAGAAGTCTCCTACTGCCATTCCCAACCCAAACATCTGTGTTGCAGCAGTACCAAAGTTGTTTGTGCCAAGAGCTTCAGATGTGAACTAGAGCTTCAGATTTGCGCGCAAACTGTTGTGCTGTGCAAAGGATTCATTCATTGTAAATAATTTACTCCTCAGTCACCAGGAAGTCATTTCTGAAGTTTTCTCTCTTTCCTGTAGTACTTGAATGTTGGCTTGTGTAAATAGGACACTGATTTAACATTGCATAGATGCAGTCATCCACAGGAATAGATGAAGCTTTCTGTTAATAACTGATTATTTCAATATGATTACTTGAGAGGTGATGTGTTGAGTTTTTCTTTGGGAGCAAATTATTATAGATTCATGATAAAAACTTAACAGTTTATGAGGTCCATGGTTCCTTAGGACTAACTAAAGTGTTGCTAGTTTCAGGGATATTTGCGTTCTTAGAAATAGTGTAGAATCAGGTCTTCTGTTGTCTCCTTAGTACTCGTAATCTTGGAACTGTTTACACAACATGTCATTCTGTAGGTTTCTCTGTCAAATTTCAGGTTTTGCGGTGAGCATTTAGTACTGTACTTTGTGTCCTGGGGTGCATGGTCTGATGGATATTAAGATTTCACTTTAGCAGCAGCATGTTTTCTCACCGTAATCTAATTTGCTCTTGAGTCATCGGGGTTTAGCATCAGTGGCAATTCAAAGAGAAGCACTGATTTTTCTCTAGGTAAAGTTGTTCTGATCGCCTTTCTTTTCAAGGAGTGGTCCCTGTGGTGAAAACCTTAGAGCACAGAAGTGTGTGAAGAAGGGGTTAAATGTGGGAGGAATTAAAGGAAGGAATTGATTTTGTCATCATCTATTAATAAGGTGTCATTAACTAGATGTGCATGAGGAATTGAAGGAAGGAAAACTTTGTATTTTACGTTTGAAACATTCTTCTGTCTCTCTTTAGATTGTCAATGTGTCACAGCTAGAGGGGGCTGATCACCCTGTAGAACTGATCTATTTTGTGGAAGGTCAAAATGGAGAGAGGCTCAGCGCTGAACAGTCTTCAGATCTGATTAACAGAGTGGACATCCAGAGAGCTGCTATCATTCTCGGATACCGTATTCAAGACCCAGTTGCTCAACGTAAGTCCCACCAACTCTATGGCTGTACCACTGAAGACAAAAGGGAAACATGACCCTGGTTATGGAAATCCGGAGACTTCCCCAGAGCAAACTGTAATACGTATTATATTACTTCTGTACTGCATTAGAACGGGTCTGTGCAGTGCCTGCCTTGAAAGAATGGTCTATCAGGCAGAAGCATGACTTTAGAGGCCATTTATGCTGTTCCAGCCCCTTTAAGCACCATAATGGAGCTGGAGCAGGGTGAGGATCTCAACCATAAATTTCCAAAAAAAAAAGTAAGATAATGGGAAAAGAATAATTGTGATTTGGAATATTTCCTCTTTGTGAAATATGCAAACCTATACAATTTAAACATGACTCTTTTTACAACCTCAACCTCCTCCCCTCCCCCCCCCAAAAAAATCCCAAACAAACCCAAAAACAAACCTACTTACTGTTTGAGTGACAAACAAACCCGAAAACAAACCTACTTACTGTTTGAGTGAAAAGTGCAATTATAGTGGGAAATAATTGTTTGGGTCATACCACCTACCTTATGCCTTGATTGTCCTATGTCTCATTTTTTATTACTGCTCCATGAATGACACGTGTAATTTTGATTTTGTCATCATCTATTAATAAGGTTTCATTAATTAGATGTGCATGAGCATCTGTATTGGAGATCCTTAGCACACCAACTCAATGAGAGTTGTGAGGAGCGAAAGTGAGATGGAAAATATTTAAATATTTACAGCCAGATGGCATTAAAATGCTGTGCATAAAAATTACTCTAAACTCTACACGGTGAGAGGGAGAGGTTTAAAATACATAGCATGTGTAATATAAACAATATAAAATCACTGACTAGATTTAAATCTATAATTAACTATGTTTTTCAGTATAGACGATACACAGAAACATAGGGCACAGGACTGGAAGGGGTCTCATGGATCATTGAGTCCAGTCACCATCTATCTTAAACAACCATGTTTTATTATCCCATTAATAAAATAAGCAAACTCCATTTAAAACTAGTTAGTTTCTTTGCCCTCAGTGTGCCTATTGGAACATAAGACTTTGCTGTGTATAAATGAGGAGTGAATGACCTGATAGTACAAAGTATTTTTGCTTTGGTAGCAATAGCTAGAATAGTCAGGTATAATACAACATGTATCTGATCTACAAAGTCACTTGCAGAAATATTTTTATGGAAAACTAAGGGGCGGTGCACCCTACTCATTACACTCACCAACCCCCTGGGGCTGCACAAGACCCAGCTGCTGGGGAGGAGAGGGCCGGGAGTGACGCCAGCCCTGGCCTCCCCCTTCCCCTTCCCTCTGGCAGAGGCCCTAGCCTC